AATGATACAATAAGTCACATTTTACCATTGTTTTGTAAATTCGTAATTCAGTGTGAACTGACTGCGAACTAACAAAAATGATGAAAAAACAGCCTAAAAGGTGCCTCTTTTGTTCTTCTTGCCAATTCGTAAACTGGGACGAATTCGTAGACAAGAAATTTCGGGCACCCACGAATTCGTAAATCGAATTAGTCGACTATCGATAAATTCGTGAAATGATCTTTTTGATCCAGAAGAATTCATAAATTGGCAAAAATACGATAAAATGCGAAATTATGAATTCGTAGATGCCAAAGCATGTCCGACAAATTCGTAAAAATAGCTGCAAATTCAGATGAGAAGTATGCGAACCGATGGGAATAGACGATTCTTACTTTTCTTGGCCTCACGTCAGAGAAATGTGTCTTGTCTTTGACATCAATTCGTATTTACGAATTAATCTAGTTCTAAAAGCAGTAAACACTAATTCGTAAACTAATTTTACGAAGTATTTGCGAATTGTTCAGCATCGTATTTTCTCGTTTCGCATGTTTACGAATTCGTAAAAGCTTTCAGATCCGCACGAATGCGATACAGTTCGCATCAATTCGCTGCGAATTCTCAAAATAAGCGTTGAATGTGAATTGTTGCGTCATTTTTACGCTTAAAAATTACGATTTGTCAATTCGTCTTTAGACACTTTGTCCACACATGATGAAGGTTGGGTACGGGTACGAAGTTGTGGGGTAAGGGTAGAGCAGTTGCGGGTACGGGTTCCGTTTTTTCTTAATTTACCTGAAAACCGAAAAGTTTTAGTAAAAAAATACAAGATTTTAGCTAAAATACATGAAGTTTTAAGAACAGTTGCTTGAGAACGTAATGATAGTTTGTCGGCTCCGCCGAAAAACAGAAGTTTTTAGCTGAAAAACGAAAGCGAGAAAATTTTTAGATATAAGTTGGGTACGGATATAAAGTTCTTGGGTCGGATCGGGTACGAGTGGTAAAAAAGTTTTCGGGTCGGGTACGAAAATGGTACCCGTTTACATCTCTATTGTACAGTTCGAGTATGCTTTACTCTCTATCAATAACCAACTGTAATAATCAATTTTTCTTTTTAATGTTCGCAGTCACAAGTGAAGAGATGACACTTCAGTAATAGTACTTTTTTTGGTTTTGCTACTTCACAAAAAATTGGGTCCAAAACTCATTAAGAATTCTTTCTATCATCCCAAGAGCAGGACACTTATCGAATTTTACAATTGGCCGATACGCAACAGATAGATTATTTGTGTTACAGGTCAATGCTTTAATTTCGTATTTTTATTTAAACATATTTAAATATATTTAATAAAACAAACGTTTTAATTTCTTTTATTGAGGTCTTCGTCAGTGACGTAATAAAATATATATAAAAATAGTTAAAAAACGTTACATTTAAAGAAATATGAATTCTGGTCATAATAGTCTCACCAGCGTCCCTCCTCACCCTTACCGTCTGCTAAAAAAGAATATCGCTCACTCTGTAGATGGAAAACTGGTAAATAAGAAGAGAGCCATGTTAGCAAACAGACTATCGGTCAATATAAATGAATACTGGAAGGACGAAAGGATGTCACGCTCTAACATTTAGTTAAGGGTACCCCCTGTGACGACTTATATTGCCTGTAATTATAAGTCCTTGAGAGTTTATGATATCCCCCTCCTTTTCCACCATGTTGCTAAATTTGTATGAGAGATAGAACATCGAAAAAGAAAATCGATATATTTTTCTCGGAATTTTCCGGCATGTTCTTCTATGGTTTTTCTGAAAAACTCCATTTTTCATCAAGTCATATTACGACCTCTACAAAAAATGGTCTTAAATTTTTACTGTTGATACTTTAGATCCTATCTCATGTTCTAAATTTGTTTTTCGAAAAATATGCTTTCCTTCTTGATATGTAGAAAAAATGCTAAAAATCCTGTATAAATAACCCGTTTTTGATTTTAAAAGTCTTCCCACACCGAAAGTTGAAGTCGAAAACGCTTAAAAAAATTTAGGACCTGAGACAGAGTCTGAAGTATCTGTGGTAAAAATATGAGCTCGATCGAACCATTTTTTTGAGGGGCTGTAATGTGCCTGGCTTGAAGAGACTGTCGAAAAAAGGCATAATGAGAAAAGCATTTATTGTACACAGGGCTATGTTTTTCAGGGCATTTGCAGCGATGCTTATGTCTAGGAAGATCATGGAGAACTGGGAGTGGTCTCATTTTATAGTCCAGACTTTCCTCTACATCAGACTATGTTCAGCTCAAAATGGAAACTTTTCTGCAACAAATAGGAGGTACCCTTAACTTACAGAAAACATCCACACTTATACCCAAGCAAACTATAGTTTAAGTGATAACTATAGTATAAGTGTGAATGTTCACAGTAAAAAATATTGTGTCGCAGTAAAATGTGTCGCAGCTCCTGTGAGAAAATTGCGTCGCACAATTGTGTTGCTGTGACTAAGAACTTTCAGACACAGTTCTTGAGATCATTTCAGGATCTGCTGTCTTCAAAAAATTGCTAAATTTTATGTTTTACTATTTTCAGCAGTCTTCATTAGTATTTTTCTCGGCTTCTTTTCAATTTTGATGTGCTATAGGTGGCGCTAATACGTAAAAGATAAGAAAATTTTTGAACTTTTTAAGTGTTTTCAATTTCGAATTGGTGTTTTTAGTAGATAAAGAGCCCTCTCTTGGTCTTTTTTAACTATTTTCTACGTTAAACATTTTTTCTCTATAGAAATTGAACCAATCAGAGGCCTTGACTACGCTATTAATCTCAGATCTCGAAAACTAAATATTTTGAAGCCTGTGAATATTACCGGCGGATTGAGCTTGTTGACATTACGTAGAGCATCCCAAAATGAACTAAAAATATCTTTAAAATCGAATAAGAGATCGAAAATACTTAATTTCTACTGTTTTCTCTATGGTAGAAATACCCAGCGGAATGTGTCGCAGCCTCAATGGAAAAAATGTGTCGCAAGTGGCTCCCGGTATCGCAGATAATTGTGTCGCAGAATATGTCGCAATTTGCGACACATGCGACACATTATTTTTTAATGTGTAGCGTAAATGAGAAAATTTAATTCTAAAAATAGCTGCAGCATCCGCTTGCATCCAGACTAAAGGTGCATTTATTTAGCTTGATATTAACTGTCGTGAAATACAAAAAGTTTATCCACTGTTCGTTTTAAAAAAGAATGTCGTTGGATGTTTTTTACATAACTTTTGATAGGAACAAGATAGAGACATTCGATAGTCAATGTCAGGGTATGCGGTTTTCTGGAAAAAACTTTTCGAAATTGCAGTATGTAGGAATATAAGAAAAGTTTTCAAAACTTTTTTTGAACAAAATTCAACAATGGAAAGTACTTAAATTTTGAAAAGATTTTCTAGAAATCTTTCTCAGTGAGAAAATGATTTTTACTAGTTTCTAACACAAAATTACATAAAGCAAGGTTTATCTTGATGTTCTGACGCAATCTGATCGATTTTGAGTGAGTTATGAATTTTTTAATTTTTGTTGAAAGCAGCCACAAATGAGTTGCTTCAACTACTATAAGTTATTACTAAAATTTCTGCGTTTTATTCAAAAAACAAACATAACCAAGAGGTTCAGCGGAGTCGATAATCTATTTTTCCATTTATCTTCAGAATTACTACACTTAAAGATATGCCAATCTTAGCCAATAGCATGGTCTGTTAGTTTGTTTATTGCACTATTGTATGTGATGGGATCGTGGCGTTATAATCTATCACCACTATACCGATGTTTACCCAAATTTTGACGGAAATTTGCTCTGCTTAGAATGACAGAATATATGGATAGTTTCATCAATATCACTAAAGACTAAATTACGAAAAATTAAGAGGTCGTCCAGATCCCATGCTAAAGATGGTACTTTGGACTATCTAACCATGAAAGAAAACTGATGATAACTTGCGGAATACTAGTCCAATTTTGAAAAATCTTATCAAAAAGCAACCTTTGCGAAGATTTCGAAAAGTTCTTTTCCAAAGAAAGCGCATACCCTGATGTTGGCTATCGAATAATGAAAATCGAACATCTCTATCTTGTTACCTATCAAATGTTATTTAAACAGCACTCAACGGCATTCTTCTTTGAAACGAATAGTGAATAAAAAATTTTCATATTTCACTACAGCTAGAATCAAAGCTAGATAAATGTACCTTTAGTCTGGACACAAGCGTTTACTACACGAAGTCAGCCGATATTTAACAGCATAGTATGCTCATTAACTGTGACGAAACCTCATACTATCGTTTGAAAAAATATCCAAGTTCAAGATAGATACAAATCCTTCTAGAACCATACTGTCGTATGAAAGACATATCATCACTTCGTTACGATACGAGTGTTTTGATATCTGACGAGTGATTTATAGTATGCATATAATCATTACTTTTTTAGATGTGCAATCTAGAATAATTGTGAGATAGACGCTTCTTATTGTCTAACGTACAATTTATGAAGAAAATCTTATTAATTAATGTCAAAACAAGAAAATCGTCTAGGCTAAAGAATAATGATTATGCGTTTTCACACAATGTGAGGATGTTTAATTTAGAATGATTTAAAATCAGCATATTAACTTGTAATCATTATATCAAAAGCATTGTTAATGGAAAAAAAACATCTATTTAGTAGGAGTATTCTATTAGTAATAATTATATGGGTCTTAATTATGGTCTATTGCCTTCACTATAATATATTTGGTCCGTTTCGTTTTATCTTATCCAGTTATTTAATTTCTGGTTCTACTACCAAAGAATTAGATCTAAGTTACTTTAAACTACCCAACACATCACATATAATTCATGATCCAAGTAATTTAAAAATGTGGTTGGAACGAGCCAGTTACGTACAGCAGTTTCTTTATAAACGCTACCAAGAGAAAAACAAAAGCAAAAAACATGCCACAGAAGATATACAAAGACCTATTACAATCCTTTTTTGGCATAAAGGAATGTTTTGGCCTAAAAACAACTTTGATTCAGATAAAATTTGGATTAATAATTGTTCGGTACCTTGTTCCGTCACTTATGATCGTCGTCGTGCTTTCAAAACAGATATAGTTTTAGTGCATCAAACAAAATCCATAGTAGAAGGTTTTATTAATCGTCAATTACAAAAATTAGCTTTATTGAGTTTGGAACCTTTTTGTATGTATGATATTGCTAAAAATCTTGCTCATGTGGATATTCTTATTAGTTTTCATAAATTTTCTGACGTACAAGTGACCTATTCCAATGCTGTTGTAGACAGTTTTAAAGCAACTGAAAATATGTACTATCATCTGAATAAACGGTTCAACATTTTAAACCGATTTCCCAATATGACTATAAAAGATCAACGTGTATTGGGCGCTTTTTTTATCAGCCAATGTAGGTCAAAAGATCGACTCAGATATCTAAAAGAATTAATGACATACATTCCCCTCGATTCTTATGGCAAATGTCTACATAGCAAGCATATAGATAGACGAACTTATGATAAACGTCAAACTTTTGCCAAATACAAATTTGCCATCTCATTTGAAAATTCTATTCTACCTGATTATGTTACGGAAAAATACTGGCAAGCTTTAACTTCAGATGCTATTGGTGTGTATTGGGGAGCACCAAATATACGTGATTATTATCCAAAACAACAAAATAAAATCATGATCGAAGTTAAAAATTATCCTGATCCGAAAGATCTGGCCAATTATTTATTGATGTTACATTATAATAATACAGCATATTTAGAATATTTTCAATGGCGATATCAGCAATTAGATGAAACATTTAATCGTATGAACATCAATGGTTTTGACAATGGTGAACAACATTCGTGGATTTGTAAAACATGCGAAAATTATCATAACCAATTCCAGTAAAAATGAGTCATTTGTTTTTCGCTTAGTAATCAATATAAGTTGGTTTTCTTGTAAGATTAATCGTTCGTGCTTATACTTTGTCAAATAATGTTCAATTAAATCATTTAGCAAGGTACATTATGAAATTTCTTTGACAGACTGTTGACTGATTGAAAAAAGCAACAACAAATATCAGCAGTAGGATTAAAAGTGATAATAACAAAATCCACAATGTCATGACAATGCAATATGACAAGTGAAAATGAATAGTTCAGATAATGTACATGATTATAGCAACAATTATGCCAAAATTAAAATGAAATATTTACAAGGATCACATGGCCTATCGCAATTTCAGAAACAACTAGACCTATCTTCATTAGAAGAGTGAATTCATTTTCGTACGAAAGAGACACTACTGCATAATTGGTTCGGAAAATATAGACCATCTGAAGTATTAAAATGTTGTCTTTTCTATTTTGCACTATAATATTCAACAGTTCTACTCGAATTAGTGCAAAAATTATGTTCGCAAAAACAAAACTCTTGGATCAGAATCAGTTTGAGTGATCTAATCATGTGGAGCGTATTTAACCGAATACGCTCTCATTGGACTATAAACTATTTAGGTTGAGATTCTACTGATCGATGACAGATGGCATCACACAATAAATGTAAAAGAAAATGAAAGTGAACAAGAGAGACAGACGAAGTAATCAAGGAACTGAATAAATTTGATAATCTTTCAGAATCTAGAAGTTTCTCTCTTTTTCTGGCTATTCTCGCAGGAATCATGCCAGAGCGGTTATGCATCAAGCGAATAAAACCAGTTATTTATAAGAAGAGCCTAATGCAAACTAGCAGTAAAAAATTTTCTCCAACTTATAATACATCGTTCAACAGAGTGCATCGGACTGGTTAAGAAAATATATTGTTTATTAATTTTTGAAAAAAATCTTTTTCGTGATAAATAGTTTTAAAAATCCTACAAGTTCAAAAAGTTCAAATTTCCGTTGTCTCTGTTAGTCTGCATTTTCCAAAGTATTTTTTTCTTATTCCACATTAAAAATTAAATAATGGTATTTGATTAATTCTAAAGTTAAATACCTGTTCAGTCTCTAAAACACAAACGTATTTTAAAAAACTAAAAGGTATTTCGTCCTGTGCATGAAACTGACTTTGATTCTATGTGAGATGGAGAAAAGCAAAACTGGTATCCCGACTGCTGCTAAACGGTACTCTAAGGAACCAAAGGGTTTTTTATTTGAAAAAGAGTATTTCACCTTGGAAAATATCCTTAGAGCATATTTCATTTCCATTAGGATACCAAAAAGGATTTAGTAAGTTACGAGTGTGGTATCCCAAAGCACCAAAATGGTTTTTGTTATCAGAATAAAATACCTTTTTTATGAAATACCAAAATTGGTTTTGCAGGATACCAAAACCGTTTGGTTCTGTAAATAATTTTTTCAAAATGCTCACAACGGTATTTTAAATACTGTAGAAAACACTGATAGAAGTCATTGATAGTGACAAAACTCCTGTTATCTGTTAATAAAAGAGAGCTTGATGATTAACAGGTTAGAACCAGAATTGAACTGTAAAACTCACTCTGTTCCGATGATTATATTCATAAATTCTTTTGTTTCTGTATATCCTTGACAATGATTTTTAAATAAATCGAAACATAGGAAATTTAACATGACTCAAACCGTTACTTTAATTCTATTGTTCTTAATATTATTATTCTCACACAGATTTGTACTTCAGTTAGCTTGAACCAAAAACATATTACTTTCCGATAAAAACAACAAATCTCAAAATACTTTCAACAATATCAGAAAATAGAGCAAACATTTTTGATCAAAATGAGATATCTCTCAGCTCTGAATGATGTTTTGATCAAGAGTTATGAGAGTTTTGCTGGATGCCCTAAAACACGCATCAGATACTTGCGCCACTATATCTCGAAAGCGACTTTCACGTTCACGCCATTTCGTAGCTGCAAGATTTTTCGACAACGAAACATCACAGAGAGCTCGGGAAGGTCTTAAATTTAAGCTAATACATGCGGCTAGAGACTAATAGAGCTTGATTTTTGATATTCAATCTAGATTTCTGGTTAGAAAAATATCTTTATGCAAGTTAATGAGACTCTTTCAAATTTTGGACATTTGATACTGACCATTAATTTGAAAAGTAAAATATCAAAAATCCGGCTCTATTAAACTTTAGCCACACGTGTTTTTTGTCAGCTTAAGATCAGTCGGAGCTCTTCACAATATTTAATTACTGAGAAACCCTGCAGCTTCGAATAGTCCCATTTTGGTCACTATTGTGGTGACATCTCACAAACCATGCTTGATGGAGCCAAATGAAAAACTGTGGCGTTATACTTTCGCAAGGTCAGAATCTTCTAAAGATTTGGTCAAGATCGGACTTATGTTTCAATGAACAATCGAAATAAAATGTTTATTGCAAGAAGTCACAACTAAATTTCAAGAAAAAAAGTTGTATATGTTGTTTAATCCTCTGTCAGTTACCGAAAGTCGAACTGAGTGCTTGTTAGTACTCAACTCGACTCGAGAGTAGTATGTTTTCTAGATAAAACGAATGCTCATGTGTTTAGATTTCAGTTATACCAATTTCAGATTGCTCAATCTTTTTCTCTACTTGATCAACAAATGTTTTGATCTTCGAGTTTTTCAGTGTTTTTACCAATGTTAAGGCGTTTTCGTACAAACCCTTAGCAAATGAACCGTTCGTGTATTTGAATATATGCATCACCTATTTCTATCAGAGTTTGAGCTACATCTCTTGTCAGTTGCGGAATCAAATTTTTTTCATCATTATAAACGCCGCCTACGTTATCAAATTTAGCGGCCCATTCCAGATTACGTTGAACATCGCCACAATAGATATAGACGCGATGTAGCTGCGGTCGGGGGTGAACTGCTTTAATAGGTGATTCGCCCAGACGTCCAAATGAAATGAGAAATACTCGTTTATCTTTGCATTGAGTACGAATAAATGTAGCACATATAGGTAGACTTGAAAAAAATCTCCATGACGCTGGCTGACTAATACTATTATACTCCTGTTTGGCGTTAGTAACTAATTCGTCAAGCCAAAGATATGCAATACCAGTGAATTCAGCAAGATTAATGGGTTGCTGAATGATGGATAGCTGTGTGTCATCAGTGGAGTCTGCTTGGACGTGTTGAGGAGCATAGTTCTCGATTACATTCATCGTACTCATAGTTGTTAGTGGCAGAGCTGGGCAAGAACGGGATTTTTCAAGTACGAGTCGAGTACAAGTACCAATGCTTCGAGTACGAGTCGAGTACGAGTACCGAGCCTTCGGGTATGAGTCGAGTACGAGTAGCAAAGCTTCGAGTACGAGTCGAGTACCGAGCGAAATGTTAAAACATTTTTTTATTTATTGTTTTATCAACCTTCAGGTAGATGGAATCAAAGTAAAACTTTATTACATTTTAGAAAAGTTAGTAGACACACATTCTTTGCCGTTAATGATGCACGATGTGGTCTCATCAGAAAACCACTTTGCGAGAAAATGCGTTCGATAGAAGCCGATGTCGCAGGCACCGTTAGATATTTTAGAGCAAGTTAATATAATCCTATTTTTATAAATACTTATCGGACCCTTATACGACTCTTATTAAGTCCGTATATAAGTGTTCGATCACGGTTGTGGTAATTATTCTGGACACCTACTGACCACCTCGAGTACAAGTACGAGTACGAGTACGACCAAAATCGTACTCGAGTACGAGTACTTCGAGTATTTTGCCCAGCTCTGGTTAGTGGTGGCGCAAAACTGGGAAAAAAAACGCCAGCTTAGGGAAACTATGTTTATTTTATAATAAAACATAATACATTGAAAACAAAACATATATTTGAGAAAACATAATAATACATTTAAGAACTCCTCCCTTAGCTCGGTTTATATTATATTTACATAATTATGTAAACATAAATGATGTAAAAATAAATTTTAATTTCTTTTATTAAATTTATTTAAGGGCCCTAAGCTGGCAGAGATGAGCGAGTACACGGATTTCTGCGTACGCGTACGAATACGAAAAAAAAAGGTCATCGGGAGAAGTACTCGAGTATTTTTTGGAATACTCATTAAAAAGAGTTCCGAATACGAATAGGAGTACGAGTACTTGGAATTTTGTACTCGAATACACTCAAGTACGAGTATATACTCGACCATCTCTGTAAACTGGTTGTTTTGAGAAAACAAAAAACAAATTTATTCAGCCCAACTGGGTGTATAGATGACTATTCACAAAATTCTTATTGAGTACCGTAATGAAATTAACAAAAATATTTATTGCCTTGGGGAATAAAGTGCATTTAGTTTTTTGTACGAAAAATAAAAATATGTCCTTTAAGTCTCTGTATCATCTACTACAGGGGTGTAACCGATATCAAAAATGCGATACCGGTACCGGTTAAGGGTATACGAACTTCGTACCGGTACCGGTCGGCTTGTCTTGATTATGTTTTGTCTAAATACAAATACTTTTTCCTTGTCGCATATGTGAAGAAGTCTGTTAACACTCACTGAAAAAAACCGATTACTCTTCTTTTGATCAATTACTTATGTTATCAAAGAGATAGATTAATCTCTTGAAGTATTCTTGTTTCGTCGACAACACACTCTCACACCGCCCCTCCCGCCTCTGATGTTCTCTGATCTATATTCTTTGAAGTGGCCGCTTTGTCGACGAAACTAGAATACCCCTAATCCCTTCACTTTGATGATGTATAGCTGATTTTTCCCACGCATTTTTTTAGCAAAAACAGCAATCTAATTCAATTTTTTAAATTAAGAAGCTCATTTATATAACCGAACTAAGTTTAGGTAATTGGAATGAAATTCTAGTGGAAGAAATATGTCGCAGATGAGCTGAATTTACACGATGTTTTTGGAAAAATCGCATCATACCGCAAGATAACAGCAATATCAACCAATTGAGTATACCTCATACTATTACCGGTATACCGGTCGGCGTTATAAGTCATACCGGTTGCACCTCTGATCTACTACTTGTACAAACTCTTTAAACATGGCTAAAATAGAGGCTAAACCGTCATAGAATTGCTCTTTTCGACGGGCAGAAAAATTCTACTACGTCTGTGACAGATCATAGAGAAAAATAAATGTTTTTTTCTACACGGATACCGACAGCGAAAAACTTCCACGTATGAATACGAACAAGGACCCTTGATAAACTACGGGCAAGGACAATATAATTTTGGCCGTGCAGATCTCTAATACACACTCATGCATTTCTTAATATGACTTCATTGTATACGCTGTTTTTCGTGTTTAACGTGGGTAAGTATATTTAATGTAAAAGAACAGTATAGTTTATTGGATAAACAGACCGATGAAAATACCGAATACATGCTTTCTTCGAAGGAGCAGAATGAAACTTTGAAGCACTATTGCTGTACTACCAATTGACATATCAAAGGTGCCACTTTTTTTTTCTTCTGTTTATTCTACATTTCATTATCTCGTGATTCTTTCTCTTATATGACAGCATTAGAAGGAGAATTTTTCTCTTTAAATAAGAAATGTAAGAAAAGACTAAATCATGTATTAAAACATCTGCAGTATGCCTGTGAGTTTATTTCTTTCTGTCAAAAAAAACACTTTCCGGACACTTGCGAGATGCGATAACCTTTCCCGTTGCAGTTACGTTTTAACTTTGGACGTACATTCATTAGCATTCTATAACACTATCATGGCCCGAAGAGAAGGCCATGGTAGTTGAGAATGGCTTTAAGAATTGATTGCGCTTGTTAATTGGCATAAAAGTGCATATTCGTCCCATGCTCAGCTCCGATGTTGACAGTCCTGTATCTCGAAAAGTAAAATGTATTCTTTACTAAAAAAACAATTCGTCTACTTCAAACAAGCACAGAAGCGAAGAATGATCCATTTTAGTTAATTTTATTTTAATCTCTCAAGTTGGCAAAATATAGAGTCATTTTAAACCCTCATACCAAAGCGAAAACGTATTTGCTGGGTCGGAAATTTGCTTTTCATGGGTAACTCGACGTACTCTAAAATTTGGACAAATCAGAAACTCTCAACTTCACATTTTAAGATGGGTCTCCAGAGACCGAATGTCTAGAGACCCATGGTAAGAACACGTATCAGTCCGACTGAATATCCAGTTTGGAATCAGCATAAAAAATGACCTATAATTATGTACGTTTCAAGTTAAAAGAGACGGATCAGTTGGAGACCTTCCATCGTAAGTATTCAATACCATGCAGCATTGAAAGTTTCAATGCTCCATGGCAGTTGAAATGAAACTTTTTACAGCAACAATTACCCTATTTCTCAAAAAATATGTTTTAATCCAAAACAGGCGTACTATCGATTTTTAGCCAAAATGTCAGACTTGATGCGCAATGAATCGATGACTGTTCCATGTATTCTGTGATTCTTAACGAGCTAAAGTTTCAGCAAAAACAACGTTAGATTAGCGATACATCATAACGGCAGGATTCAATGGTGCAATAGATTAATTGTTCAATCTCATTCAGAAAGCGTATTAATTTGTGTGCATAGAAGGTCGTGAATAAAATAATAGGGACTTACAATACAAATCATCGTTGTATTATTTATGACATTGTCTCTACGTATTTTCATAGTTCATTTTTAAAAACAGTATTTGTATTTTTAGACTATGTTAATCTCTTTTTATAAATTTATTTTTACAGTGTACAAATTGCAAAATATCTATTGCTGCTATTTTTTCTGTCCTATTCACATACGATTATTTTATTTATTTGTGAAGAAATTTGCCTATTATTAAGATAAAAACTAGATCATTTTTCACCGTCAACAACATACTGATAAAAGAGAGTTTTATTTACCGTAGTACCAATGATCATGGAATAGATTAGATTGAAGGGGAAATAAAAACACTTATTTCTCATCCTTGATGGGTATTTATTACTAAAAATAAACAATATAGAAAACGTTTGCTCATAGTAAGAAATTAAAGTGTGACAAATAAAGTGATTTTATCTTAAACAAAACAATGAGTAGATAATTATAACATATTAAAAGTAATATCACTCGGATGTCGATTCAAAAAAAAAAGTAAGAAAAAGAGAAAAAAAAAAAAGATAACAATAATTTATAGAAACACTGTTCAGATTAGTCAACAATTAAACAGCATTTAATTTATTAAAAAAAAAAAATAAATAAATAAAAAGAATAAAAAGTAAAAAAAAGAAAGTAGAAATATTTTTGTCATAAAAATAAATTAAAAAAACAAAAAACTTTTGATAACATCAAAAACAACAATAAAAAAAAAAAGAAGAAAAGAATGAATGTCGATCGATTGTTAAGAATGTGTCAGAAACTAAAAGAAAAATATTATTATTTAATTAAAAATAGAAAATTGAATAATTAAATAGATTAGGGCTATTTAAGCGAGTAATTATTGATTGCATCAGACAAAGCGTATAGATACTATCTTAGAAAATGGACTAGATAACTGCTAAAAGATGGAGGCATATATATATATATTATTAAAGCATTTTTACTATAAGCTTAGAATTTCTTTGATAATCAAACCTGAAAATTAGCTAAAGATTTCCTGAAAAAAAACTAGATAAAATATTTTCTCCTAAGACAAATTGCTATGATAAAAGAAAAAAAAAAAGACCAAGAAGACTAATCTCTAATAAAAATATTCTATTTATTTAAAACATTCTTTTTTTCTTTTTTTCTTTTTTTTTTGTACGTACCGAAAATAAACCAGATGGTTTTGGAGCTGGATTTGCTCTTGGTATTGCAAAATTTGGATTTAATGCTTCAACAAAATCATCATTCATATCATCATCTTTTGTTAAATCATCTATCATATTTGTAACAAATTCTATGTCGTCTAGATCGTCAGAACCTGAAAAAGTTTCTGAATTTATATCACTTTTCACTGGTAAACTGTTTAATGTATCGATTGTAGATGATATATGTGGACGTGGTATTGTTCTACGAATCGACGTTATTTTTTCTAAGTTTTTGAAAAACTCACTATCGATCGTTCCAGGAGTTTGTTCACTATCATAATTTGTACGATAAGTAGATGAACTTGATTGTTCTCCAAATGCATCTTGTGATTCATCATTATTATTACCTTCTCCAACATTTAAACCATTATTATTAGCTGGTGTACTACCAATTGTTGG